TTTACGTAATAATAATCATGATATAATTACGCAGCAAAAACTTTATCATAAATGCTACCAAACATTTTCCAAAGTCATTAAAATTTGTTAATTACGTTGCGCGCTATGTTCTTCTTATTTAATTACATTTCAGATTGCGTGAAAAAAAATTTATTTTGAAATTTTAATTGACCTGCCCTAAATCCGCGACAGCTTTTAAAACCCATCATCCTCGGAAAGAAGCATTTAAAGCCCGATAGAGGAAAGTTATGAGCGAGTAATACTTGAAAGTTGCGGGAACTCGTAGAACTAGAGTTGCCTATGGCGAAACGGAATTATTGCATAACTTTGAGTCTGACTCTTTGTTAATAACAGGAGATATTGCATAAGAGTGTTCCTGGAGAATATTGGGAATTCAACACGACTGTACATTGTTTATTATATTAGCTCAATTATTCCGCTTTCTAAAAATTAGATGGTATAAAGAGAAAGATATATAATTGAGAGGAATTATGTGTTACAAAATATGTTCTATGTATAAAAAATATATTTAGTATATAAAAAATGCAAGGTTAAATAATATGTAATCTATTAATTAATTTTCTAATTAAAACTAAAAATTATGTTAAAATTCTTCTATAATCTGAAGATTATAAATCGGATAGAAATTAATAATAAAACCTCTGGTCCATAATTTTATTTGTAATATCATAATTTGACGAATGCGAATCTTGAACTAATGCGGAATATTAAAGCAGCAGTAATTTTATTATCTCTGAAATGAGAATTGATCACCCACACATCCGTCTCTGTCAGAGGTTTCTTTTCCGTCAACCCGACTCATTCCTCCAAGAAAGATACTAAAGATGATATTATATCTCCACATTTATTCTATAAAATTGATACGCGTATGAATATTTCTCGTAGCAATTTTTTAAAATATATTCTTTATATAAGTAGCCATGTTAAATATATTAAATTTACTTTAATATTCATTTAAAACTGTGTAATTAAATCAAAAACATAATATTGCAATATGTATGAGCGTACATTACGATTTTAAATATGCAAGAACTAAGCCATTAGCAAAAGTAGGAAAGAAATGCAGTTTTAATAAAAGTAATTTAAATTAAAACGTAAATTACAAGTAGTTCTAGAAACCCTAGAGTTGCAAACATGAAATAAATTTAAAGAAACGTCTTGCGAGCGAAACTTTCTTCTTAACAAATGTAAACAACGTATTACGTCGAAATTATATTCAAATAATTAAAAGTAAAGCAAAATAAAAATATTACATCGTAATAAGAAAGTTTCTTTTTTTTTTTTTCATATTGCAGCGTAGTTTTGGAACGTCAACAATTTCAATGTCTCTCTTCAAAGTGCAACTTGTATGATGGAATGCATGCAATAGTAACGTGGATAGTACGCAACTTTACCGTTTATGCAAACGCCTTTTCTGCTGAAATTTCGCGCAATCATGCCCGCGCATTTAAAAGCCGGCGAGACAAATATTTGTGGAACATTTGCACTGCTCTGGGCAAAATATTCGTCACAAGAAGATGTAATTAAAGCGATGTAAATTCGCGTGCATACCGCCGTTTATATTATAACGTGACAAAAACAACGGAAACAATTTATCCTCCATGTGAACGGCCTCTCAACTGCCTCTCAACTGTGTATTATCAGAGATAATTCATTATCAAGTCTGTGATCTGTAATACATTTTCCGAACCAATGACAATGCGCTGAATAAACGTAATGTAAAGAGATGTACGATGGTATAAGTGAGGTATACTCATCAACTTTATTAAGCACATAGGCTAGTGATTCTATATTAAAATCACTTGTGTATACTTAATTACTTATTAATTTAATATTAATTACATATTATCTCACAGTATAATATCACGCGATCAAAACTGCTATACGTGTTTTTAATTTTTTATTTCAATTTCGAGAGGCAATAGAAAGCAAGGGAAGGCTTAGCGTATCTCAATCGGTTTATAACGAACATCCGTGCAATTGTGTATCGCACAGTCCGACTGTCGAAAGATTCAAAGCGGCTGTTAATTCGGGTTCACGTCACGCGTTCATATCACGATAGAAAGCAGGCGAAACGATTTATGGATGAGTACATGCAAGCTGGGATCCGCTATCAAGATAATTCAGTATCGGATTTGCGATAACCGTGTACCGTTTGCGACATACACTTACACACACACACACACACACACACACACACACACACACACACACACACACACACACACACACACACACACACACACACACACAAATAACCGTCACATAAGGGTGATAGTTAATCGTGGGATCAGTCGCACAGAGATTTGCACTTCGCATCAGCCGATACGCAGCTGAGGCAGCTAAAAGCTAATTGCTGTACTTAGCGGCATGTACTTGTGCGCTTTTTACATAAAAACTAGTCGATTATTAATTTCCATGTATGTTCATTTGAGACTAATTAAAATCATTTAAACTATTTTTTAGCTTTACTCGTATAATATTTAAAAAAATTAGAATATAAAATTTCTTTCACATTTGGATAATGATCCATCTCAATAAAATATTTTTATCAACGTTTAGTTGGTCAAATCAACATCGCATTGCCTTCTTAACACATAAATTTACCTATCATAATAAATATTTAGTGATGTGCACGACACTTGCAAATCATTTTCTAATATTTCAATCGCAAGGTACGTCAATGAAAATTTTAAAAAAGTATGTAATCATCCTGTCGTCATTATCCTGTCATTTAATTTCAGATTTGTCGAATTTTGCGATTGCCACATGGGGCCAATTGAGCGAGGAGGACTTTAATTATAATAGACAGAGACAAGATTCGATTAGCACGCTCCGGGACGCATCTTGGATCGTACCTCCAGTTACTTCATATATTCGATTATTCGACACAGTCCGACATTAGGAATGAACATAATTGAACAAATATCTGTTGTTCATTAATTTTATACAATTTCATTAACTTCTATTTTCATAAAATAACTTTATAAAGTAAGTAACTTGGGATAAAATAGCAAAGTATCAACATACCAATAAGAATTTCCTTCGAGGTAGAAACAATTCATTTCCACAGTTTCAAACATTTCAAAGAAATTCTTTAGCAGTTCCTTAACAGTACAGAAACAAGTTTACACGGTGTGTTATTTGATTTGATTCTATTATGCAGAATTTTATCCATCAGTTTCCCAATACGTTCAAAATTTTGTCTCTAATTTTTCCTTCCCTACTTCATAATTACTAATTAGTGTCGTATTAACAAAACATTGTTGCAAATTATCGTTCTAACAAAGCCTACTGCGTAACTCAAATAGCTTGCTTTTATGAATAATGAATGGCTATTTGGCTAATGGTTTACTTCTTAATTAGTGGATGATTACCCAAAGCCAAATTTTTTTATCTATTTTATAAAAGTAATTATCATAAATTCCAAAGGTACTTTGCGGTCAAAGCTTTAAGATCGGGAATGACCGACGATTTTCAACGTCACTGAAATGTTGAATTTAATTTTATGTGCACGCACTATCAGCTAATTAGGTTGCAATGCAAAACAGCTGTTACTCTATGGCCACGTAATGCTTGCTCCTGGGTTCGCTTTTCGCAGAACCAACGTGAAATTCCGGAAATTTTCACGGAGTTGCCGCCGGGGACTTTGATACATACTTCCGGGAGCGCATAAACCACCAAAGGGTGTAATCCACTAACCATGTGCATACTCATCACTGATCGCGATACTGCCGTCACTTTGCATTTTAAGTGATATTTCGATAGCACGTAAAATATAATTCTGAGAACTAGATAATATAGTATCTGCTCATATCTAGTGCCATTTTATAAGTAATTTACAATATTATCTTTATTATTCGAATTAATAATAAAAATAATATTATAATTATAGAATAATATAATATCATCCGAATAGATTAAATTAAAATATCTTTCGCAATATTAACATTGATTTATTTTGGAAAAATAATAAATATTTAAAATATTCATGTACAATTTTTTTTAATCGCACACGTCTTTTACGTGAAATACTTCTATGTCAATAGAGAAAGGAATATTCGGAACAAAATGGCGCTATTAAAAATGATTTCAGTAGCGAGTATTAAAGCTTTCAAACTTTTCAGAGCAAAATATTTGGATAACAAAATGGAAATTCAAATGATGGAAGTTCTATTATAATCGATACTCTTTTATTATTACGTAATGTGAAATAATTTTTAAATCATGTGAAGCGATAGAGAATTCGCAAAAATAAAATTGTAAAGAAGTCGCTTACTGTAACTGGTTACACGGTTAAATTTTGCATATGCTTTCCCAATACACTCAATCCATACTGATACAAGCTGGCACCGAATTTAATTGTAAGCCGCACATGGAGAAAGATTTTTATCGGCGTTATTAAACTGCGCGCCGCAAAATTTATTTGCACGAGAAATGAATCGTTATTCAATGTAATTCATCAAATCGCCTGTCCATAAAACAGCGAAGTGAACTTGTGCACACGTACGGTCACCGCTCGTTTGGTTTTCGCATTCACGCGTGTCTCCTGGGACACGGTTACGTCGACAAAGTAGTCAAGCGTGTTTTTGATTGCTTGTCTCGCTGCTCGACTACGTCAACCATCTGTTTTTTAAACAAAAATAGAATTCCCAAATGTCTAATAAATTACTTGCGGTCAGAAATAACGTTTTTTGAAAATGTAGCACGTACCTACGACCGAATTATATTCTCGTAATTTCCTGCGGAATTGGACAAATCGCAGCGGAACTCGCGCATAAATAATCGCATACGATATTTTATTTATTTACATCGTGCGATAATGTTTTTCTTTAATTGCTGCAAATCGCAGTGAAATAATCGCAATAAATAATTGCATAGAACACTTTACTTCATTTGTGTCGCGATAATATTTTCTTCAATAATTTTAGTCGCGACGCATGTGTGATAAAAATGGTTTAAATTAAGACAATACTCACCCTTCATGCCGAGTGATGATCGCACCTTCCCTCGATGCTCGTTTTATGATTTATTCTTTGTTGCACTGATATCGATGATGTCCGAGAAGGAATTTCGTGACACTTCTACGCGGCGTATTATTTTTGACATGAAAGGTGAACAACGCAAATCACGAGTTTCACGACACTTCCTAAAAACAACAATAGATTATAATTTTTAAAAATTGCAATTATAAAGTAAAATTATGTTATTCAAGTCACAATATTCAAATTCAATTTCAAATTAACATAAAATAAAATAACAGAAATTATACAAATTTGAACTACACAATTAAAATGTCTGAACAACAATATAAATATTACATAAAAAGATATATATATTTTATAATATTTAAATAATCAAACATAACAAAGTAAATTTGCTATAACCTGATTATTATAGCGCCTTGGTTTAAATAATATTTATTTTTTGCATTAGTTATGTTTAATTAAATATAAAAAAATTCAAACTTTGTTGTGAACATTTCTAATATAGTTTAACGACGTATACATATCGTACATTTTATGCAGTCTGAAAGTTAGACAGCAGTTATTCTAGTTTCGTTTTCAAAATGTATCTCCATTAGTATTTATCATCTGTGTTTTCTTTCCTTTTGCACTTACATGTATCACTTTACGTTTGATATCAAGGGAACACGTTATTAAAAACTTTTTTCAAATGTCAGATCGAGATCACACAGATAATATGTAGGTGAAGTTGCGAGAGATAGCTTGGGTTAGCGTGATATGTGCGTGTCGTATCGGAGCGCAGAAATCGGGGTTAAAGCGATACGATAAGCACCACCTCAGAAATAGCAGACTTTGTAGCAGTTGGCCGCGAACAGAACGTGTAATATACACATACATATATATATATATATATATATATATATATATATATATATACATCTAGAAAGAGATATAGAAAAGATATAGAAAATCGGACATCATTATAGTTCCGTATACTCAGAAAAGAAAAATTGAAGCCACATCAAAAGCCAGCTTTCAACTGGCTACTCGTTTTAACGAAGCAATCAATGTTCCGTAGAGTTTACTTAATGAAATATGTCAAAACGATAAAGATTAAAGTTATAAATTTTTTGTTTCTTCTCTCTGTTTTTCTCAGCGAAATTATAAAAAGAGCGAAATCATGAAAGTGCGCTGGAAAATTATTTTGTAAAAAGTGAAAGAAATCGCCTTTTTTCCCAAATATTGGTATTCTAATATTTGCTATTGTTTAAAATAAATTCCATCTAAATAAATAGTCGATTATTAAAATAATTCTCTTTTAAATATTATGTTGCCTTTTATAATTTTGTAAAACAGTAGTACAGTTTTGAATTTGTATTTCGTTTTCCAAAATATTCTGTACGTGCCATCGCAAGCATCACGCAATCATTCGATTCCATCTAATCACGAGCTTCAGTCAGAGAGTTTATCTGATTTCCAGCGGCCAAAGAGCTCATAAAAATTTTATTCCTTTGTCCAGGGAGAGAAAAATTTTTCCCGTGGGGATCGGCAGCGTCTGCCACTGATAAGTAGGCAGTGGAAGAGAACTCCATCGAGATTCTCCCTTTGTTTTTCTTTTTCGACGGTGCTTCGCAAAATTTACGAGGATTACGTCGAGTCATTTTCGAGTTTCCCGCCGGGACGTAAAGCCGCATCGTAAATTGGGATACTGTCCTCGAATTCCGGTCCCGAAAGGCGATGGAGGCAAAGTCTAACGCCGGAGGGGGGCGTTATCGAATTTAGAGCCTCCTTACTCCTTTATAAGGCGTGAGAAAAAAGAAATACGCCGTATTACGATGATAATATCGCGAATTTAGATTAACGTTCGTTCGGCTGGCTACGTGTGCACGAATATATTTATTGGCAATGCAAAAAAGTATTGCATATAAATTCCCGAATATCCGCTACGTATGCAATGCGGCTCATACATGTAAAACAAGATGCGCAAACTTTTTTTCAAGTTTACGTTGGAAACGTCGGCATGTCGTCGAGGGCGCGGCTTGTTACAAGAATCGCAGACAGGAAGTTTGGCCGCATCGCTACTGTTCGTGCTGTCGTGGCGTATTTACGCGTTCGTCGAAAAAATTTTGTCGTGAGGGATACGACGGGAGACGCCGACGGGAAAACTGCGAGGTAAGCTGGATTTCGGGGTTGAACGGCAAAAAACCGAGATAGAAGCTGCCTGATATTCGACTACCACCAGGGTATCGCGCTGATAACAGAAACAGCGATGATTAAGTGAGAAGAGATGAACGGGAGAAGGAAAGAGAGAAGGAAAAGATATCGAAAAGAAAGTACGTGAAAGGGGGAAGAGGGGGGGGGGGAGTAGTTCAAGAGATGCGTTTCTAAACTCGACATTGATCGGTGATATCGGGCAATGGACACGATGTGTCAGGGTGCCGGTCAAGACACGGAAAAGTCGAACGGCGATGAGAGTTCACGGAGAACAGACTGGCAAATTTATGGAACATGGCGGCCTCTCCCGAAGTTGGAGATTTATCGGACTGATAGTTACAAGAGCGAAACGACGCGACGACGCCCGCGCGCGCCCTCGAAAACTTCTGCCACGTAAAAATATTTTCACCCGAGAGACGGAGCGGAGCCCGAGCAAAACGAGCCACGAAGACGAAGAAAGAACGGTCCCCTGTAAGACAGAGACGTCGATGCTGCGGTCAAGACGTCGAAAAGTCGACGGACGAGAGTTTGCTGAGGCGAGATTTATGGATTATCGCCGAAGCGTTCGAGATTTATCGGACAAACCGAACGCGGAGTTGTTGAAGAGAGGTTTCCGTCTCTCAAAAACGAAATTGCACGCTCAACGAAAACACGTTTTGCTGTGAGACAAATAAAAAAACCTACGTGCTACTGCACGTAGCACGTGTCTGACGTAAGCGCGATTCTAAAAGGAAGGGCTAATAAGAGAATGAGATCGCGATACAGGAAGCCACGGATGTGATTGCGAAGAGATGAAGCCTCCGTGTAAATCAGGAAAGTCGAAAGAATTTATGCGCACGCGGTAGCAAAGAGTTACGTAATAAAAACGTCAAAGTTTAAGATTTATCGGATCCAGAAACGAAAGAAACGTCTTACGAGGAACTTCCCCGTATCGACCTTTTTCGCGTAGAAGCAGTATTTTTACGCAATGGAAAAAAAGAGGGCTGAGAGATCGGGAGGATTCGAACAAATCCGTCGTGCCGGCGCTCCTATCACGATGTGACACAGAAAAAAATGAAACAGACTTCCAACGCTATCCCTTGTAAGATTTACAAGAGTGATTGCGAAGAAATTTCGTGACGAATCTACCAAAGTTCGCGATTTATCGATGGAAAGAAGGAAACTAGAAGGATCAGCACTGCTGAAAATTCTACAGTGAGATGCCTTTAATCTCTCAAAGTTAACGATATTTAAATAAGAAGAGAAAAAAAATGCCAAATATTTTTGCAAAAGAATTGAAACTTACGATCATAGAATATTATCTATAAATCAAACATATTTTTTCTGAAATAAATTTTACTGAATAAAAAATTAAAAAATATAATATAAAAAAAGTTATTAAATGTTATTTCTATAAATAAATCTTTTACAAGATATTTCTTTCTTGTGTCTTCGAATGTACCTAAATTTGTTAACTATTTTATACTTAAATGTTCTTAAAACGGTAAGTTGATAAATTAATCAGTATATCGGATATCGATATTCCTAATTAGCCTTATTTAACGCTCATTCGAAGATTTGAGCAATCAACGTTTCTCTTTTTATCTTTATGCGCGTGACGGACTCGTATTACAATGTCAAGAAAACGACGATATCTTTGGGAAAGATTCTTAGAAGCGGCAGAAGAGAAATCTTATGACGAAAGTGCGAAAGTTCAAGACTTATCGAACCGGCAATAAAAGGATCAACGTGGCTGATCTCTGAAAAGTATTTCACAGCATACAATAACTTCTCTTGCTCTTCTTACTTCCATGAATATTTTCAGATGAAAGTACAAGATAGAAGAAAGAGAAGAAGAAGAAGAGAAACAAGATCGTAAAGTACAGGACAAGTAATAAAATTTTGAATAAGAGGCTAGATGGTGAAGCAGATGGGCAAACATATTGTGAATAAAATTTTCATGCATATAGTATAAATATGAGATTCTTCACTATAATGTATGTATATAATATAGAAAAGAAACAATATTTAAAAAATACATACATATATACATGAATATTACCTATTTAAAAATACAATGCTCTATATTTTATTTAATCTTAAATATTTGATAAAAATATTCTAAAAGAACTGCACATGAAAAACATTGAAAAAAATTTGCGTACTTGTTGATTAATGAGAGAATAATAGTTAACAATATGAAATGTAAACAAACTAATATAAACTACATGTTATTAATAAATCGCACGTTATTTGTATGTGCACATGTTCTACTTTGTAGGAAACTATTTTTTTAATAATTTCCTATAAATTACATAAAATACTGCATTTTTATTCAACATTTTTTAAATTTGGCAATTTTATAGAAACTATTTTTAATAATTTCCTATAAATTTAAC